TTGTTTTATAAAATTTAATTTCAGGATTATTTGGTGTTGACATTGTTAATTTCATTGAATGTAAAAAATAACAAAATTTGAATTTGCGAATAAATGAGCTAAGCATACCCATCCATAAGCCAAGATGTCCGCCAACATCAGCCAATAAATTGGCAAGCTAAAATTTTCATTAAATTATTACTACAGCCATTAGTAAGGCACGATTATTATAAAGTCTATCATCTTACAATAAACGTAATCAATTTCAATTTAGACAGACTGAGGAATAAATAGTATTTTAATTTTACTAATACGATAACTGGAAATGATGCTGGTAAAAATTTATAGTTACTTCATTAGCCATATATTAAAAATACTTAATTACTAATTAAACTTACACCATATGCTTCAGATTCTTTCAACAGTTCATAATTAAGCTGTTCATAGTAAACTTCAACCATTGCAGCATTTTCTCTATAATATTTCCTGCATTCTTCATCATTCATATTCGGATTGCAATTTCCAAGCTAAAATTTACATTATAAAAATATATTTAATGAAAATAATGGATCTCTCTAGTAAAGCTATCTAACAAAAACAAAAACAATGTTAATTAACTAATTATGATTAACCACAATACCTCTATTAGATAACTGACAGTTCTACTAAAGCAAGTCTTTAAATAATTAATGAGACATGCAATATGTGTTAAAATTTAATAAAAAACGAATGAAAAATAAAATCCCATATTGAAATATTATTGACAAATTATATAACATTCTTTTCTATGTAACTTTTAAATAACAAACAAAATTTGTTAAAACATTTAAATTATTCCCAATCACAATCTATCTAACAATTAACTATACTAATTATAACATGCATAAACAATTAAAGTTTAAATGAAAAACTAATAAAGAAATAAATTGAACCAAAATGAAGTTTACCGATTGTCGCAGCTAAAATAATTTCTTCTTTTGCTAATTAAATCAATTACGTAATTTATTGTTTCTTTTCTAATCGTAGTTTATTGATTAGATGAAATCGATATGTCAGAAAGAAATGAGGAAAGATTTTTTTTAGAGTATCAAAATTAGATTTTTATTAAATTAAAAGGAATTTCATCAATTCAAAAAATTATGAAGTTTACGATAACCAAAACTTTTTTTAAATATTTTTATTTTTGGTTATTTTTATTTCTTATAGTAAAATTATAATAAAATCTATAGTAAAAATATCTTAGATTGAAAATATTAATGATTTTTTTTTTTCAAAAATACCTGCCAGTATTAATTTATTCTGAGAGTTATATTGTTGTTTAGCGCATTGAATTTTTTATCAGTGATATATTTGGATATTTTTATCAATGATATTTAAATGTACTTTTTATCAATGATACGTTTAGATGTGTTTTTCATCAATGATACTTTTGGATGTTACTATCAATAACCTGTTTAGATGTATTTTTTATCAGTGATACACATTTTGATGTTATTATCAGTGATATATTGAGATGTATTTTTCATCAACGATATTGGATGTGAGTTATCCATTCTTTCTTCTTCTTTATTTTTTACTTAATTTTAATTCACTTTAAACTATTATGATTATTTTGTTTATGTATTGCTTTTTCTTTGTCTGTTGACCAATTTCTTACGCTTATTATGCCTTTTTAAATTTAAAAAATTTTTTTAAACTTTTCAAAATATTTTAAAAAATATATTAAAAAAGAGAAATGACAAACATCGCTGGCATCAGATGGCCATTTAGAAGTGGAAAAGGTGACACTGTATACTTCATTTTCACATAATTGTTTGCAATGACAATCCGTCAATCTATCCATAATACGATGAAAATCACCGATTTCGGCAATCGCCCGATCTAAGCAACCTCCTATAATATTAAAACAGACTTATCATACTGAATACAATCCACATTAAATATAAATTAGACTAAATCGATGATGTCCGTTTTAAATTATTTCCAAAAATTCTAATCAAACATAATACCATTATAAAGTTGTTATTGATTGATCAGCAGAACAAACTTCTAACACAAAATACTCTTCGTAATTTGATCTTATTTAAATTACAAAGTAAATATAAATATAAAACTAATATTACTTTAAAAAGTACTTTCAAATATTTTGCCTCCAAGTAAATAAATAATTTAATTTCTTAATAATATTAGGAATGGATATTACTTGCTGTAGCATTAAAAGCGGAACAATGCGTTCTTCCTTTTGGAACCGGAAAACGCGGATCACCACAACCGCATTTATCAAGCAACGTATTTTGAAAGCAACTTCGATGACATCCCTATCATATTTACATTGTTATTAGCTTATATCCTACATGATAACAACATTGAAAAATATGTTATTGATTTAAAATTTTTTAAAAGTATTTCAATATTTAAGAGATGGTGTTTGTCACGATAAAATTGATGTTGCTAAGATTTAGCTTACTTCTGGATTGTAATCATAGTCACCATAAATGTAAACACTTGAATCCATTTTCTTTTCTTGTTGACAGTCACCATATGGTGCGGATAATCTTTGAACGACGTGCTAGAAAATTGACATTGTGTAATAAATACAATTGAAATTTTGAAATTTCAAGAAAAAATTTGAAAAGCAAAAACATAGAAATTTCGATATAAAATTGGGTTAAGGAAAGCGATCAATTAACCTTTTTCAAGCCAAATGAAGAAGCAAAACCAACAGGTGCACTATAACCAAATGTATCCGGAAATGGAAAATCTGTTGGACTATGTATTGCTAATCGTACACCTGAAGCTTCCGATGTTGCCATATAATCTGATATATTCACAAATAATAGTAACCGAATACCTGTAGCAAAACGAAATGATAATAAATTTCATACATGGATTCAAAAGTATATTAACTACCTCGAATTGATCGTATTTCGTACGTTCAAATTTAAATTAATTTTACTGCCATAACATAAATTTATTTTAGTATCAATCGTATGCACTGTGGCGTTAATTTCTTCCTAAATCCATTTTCGTAAATTTTTGTAATTAATTAATTTTAATTGAAAAATTTCACAAAAAATGTATTAATAATAGAACGATATTACTAACCATACATTGGGCCAGCTTTACTACTTGAATGATTGTTATTTACATCCCAATTAAATGTATAACAATTCCCGAATTCCGGATCAACGTGCAATTTGAAGTCGGTGTCTGTAATGCTATTCTTTTTTTCCGATATTCTTAAATTGCTTTGATTACAAATAAATGACCCTTTGAAACAATTATCATCGATGTAGTATATCTGTTTGATAGTATCGTTTCGAGAAAAAGTGAGAATATCAGAACTCATTTAACATTTTAAAAGACTTCTCAGTAATACAATTATTAAGTAAAATAGTAATACAGTTATTAAGTACAAATAATGAACCAATATCGCATTCTTTTCCATCGAATGAACACATTTCGATGAATTCTCGTTTAGATTGAGAGAGCGCAATTCGTTGTACTTCCGGTAATGCGCTCATAGTAAAGATCAAATTTTCTTTAGCACGTGTCAACATGGCTACACCATCTGTCATACCCTTTAATTAATTGCTAATTGTAATGATATAAATTGATTAGTGATTTCAAAAATAATAGTCATAGAAATTACAGCTATATTATCGATAAAAAAAATGATTTATTTATCAACTATCGATTTGTGCATAGCTAATTTGAACAATTTCCTGAAAATTTTCAGATATATCACTATATGATGATTTAGTTCAGATCCAATTAAATTATTCACCCCATTATTACTGCCTATAGAATCCTGATTGTGTTACTACTTGCGCAATCTGGATAATCTTTAATTTAAGAGAAAATCTCAGTGATATTTTACTTAGATGAACTGATTCTAATGGTTTTTTTATCCTTAATAACGAATTAATAGTTCGGATAATCGATAAGAGTTGAATAATCCTACCGTAAAACCCATTGCTTTAACAGTTTCTGGCGCAGTAACACGTGCTGATTGTTTTGGCGGTGTTTTCATTGTTGTTGTTGTTGTTGTTGTTGTTGTCGTTGTCTTTTTCGTTGTTGTTGACGGATATAACATTGTTACCCATAATTGTTTCACGTTTTTCAACGTTCGAACACAATGTCGTTTCTTAAGAAAAATGAAAATGACTTAACATACAATCAAACAAAGTTTACATAACACTCATTTTGAAGTACTATTAGCATATTCCGATTCTGTAAGAATAAATTTGCTCCCTTATTCTTTTTATAAACTCAAGCAAACTTCTGAATAATAATTCATTCACAGCTAATCTTTAATTCTCTAATTTTATGAATTTTCATTTTAGCAAAAATTACAAAAGAATAGATTCATTAATTATTTGGTTGCAATACAGTTCGATTTTTGGTTGCAATACAGTTAGAAAAATTGCAGCACAATTGGATTTTAGGTTATAATTGAAATTAAGCAATTACTGAAATGAAATTTGTGAAACTGAATTTTCTTCTTCATTAGATCGTATTGGAAATGTCAATGAAAAAATGACAGCTCTTAGTGATCCGGTTTTTCTATTATAACTTAAAATGATGCTGTATTCTTTTATTTCAATCAAATATGGGTTAGGGAAAATCTTGAAAGCATGCAATAAATATATTCTTTAAATATTAGAAATGATATTTCGTAAATATCTGAAATGATATTATAATAATTATATTCCACAAATCTTTAAAATATTATAACACAGTTTTTATATTCTTTAAATATTTGAAATACTTGTAATCTCTTTAATTACTATTTAATCATTTATTTATTTATTTAATTATCATTTATTTATCTAATTATTTATTTATCTAATCATTTATTTAATCTTATCACAAATAATATTCATCTTTTTATCAGTACTATCATTTATTGTTTTCATTCATCTCAAGCAATACAATATTTGAGAAAGATGAGAATTGAAAAACGTAAGAAAACAGATTTTAATGATATGAGAATTATTCATGAAAAATATTAACTAATAACAGAAAAAGAGATTGAGAGAGAGAGAGCTGTAGAGAAGCTTTAGATGATATATGTTAAGTTTAAAAAGTTTTAAAAGAAAATTTTCGGAGGAAAAGGAGTGAAGTAGTAGTTTGAATAAAAATTGAAGAGGCATTACAAGCAATTCTTCCCTTTTATCCATATTAATTCCTGTAAGATTCAAATTTCAAAAATTTAAAATAAATCATTTTTCATTTTTTACTACTCTTCCATTAATTTTACATTAATTTTACAAGGAGTAAACATTTAAAACACGAAACCTACTGAGTCAGCGGTACGATTCCGGCATAAACAAGGCCAATCAGCGCTTTGGGTCGGATAATCTTCTTTTGGCTCACATAAACCATCCTCAAAACAGGCGTTGCATTTCTCCTCGTACCATATTCTATGTTAATATTAGGTTTTGTATAATTTAATAATTTCTGAGTTTTAAATGAAACAAAGAAAAACAGAAATAAATCTAATTGAATTTAGACAATTACAAAAGTATTAATAAAATAAATGGTAATTAGATTAATTAATCATAAAAAATATTCATTAAAAATATGCATTGAATCGGTATAATCACAATTTAGATATTGAATAATCAAAAAGATACTAATTGTGAAAAATTTATTTACATATTTTAATTAGTTAAAAACAAAGTTACTAACGATATATTGAAACATGGCCAAGCAATGTTCATTTCATTATCATATGTACAGATACATCTGGCATTATCAGATGGTGGGATCGATTCGAATCGAATACATTCCATTTCAGATTTACCAATACATTTACAGTGCGCTTCAATTACTTCATATCGCGTTTTCTCTGCCTCAATATTTAACATAAATGATTTAATTTTAAATTAAATTGTTTTCCTCCAAAATTATAAATTCACTTAACATCAATGAATAATGTTATTAGTATTGATAATTATTGAGTGAAATAATGAAATGATTTGAATTAAATAAAATCAAATTACAAATATTAAAATAAAACAATAAAGCAAACTAAATTGTAAACATGAGAATGAATAATAGTAACATTAAAAAAAATCTTATAGCAATTAATTGCAATCAAATGATTTAAAAGACAAAAGACCTGTTGATTAAAATTTTTAATCAGAAGGAATTCATTTGAAAGCAACCGAAAAGAATTTTAGACATAATATCCTATTCAAAAGTGTTAAATACTATGTACCATAAAATAATATTTATTAAGTGAAAATAAATTAAAAAAATGTTTATTAATAATTGGAATCTTTTATATAATTACTGTTTTAAATTTACCAAATTATAATCTTTTAAAAATTTCATTTAAATATCTTACCATTCGTTTACTCCTCAGTGTTAGATCGCTTGCATTTGAAAATGTTTTAATATCAGTAGTAGAAATTCCAGCTATAGAAGTAAACGTCAATGTATTAGTAATATCAGTATTACCAGTAGTACTTATTGCAGTAGTAGCAGCAGCTATTGTCGTTGCTGTTGTCGTTATTGTATCAGTATCAGTAGGGAAATATGTATTAGAAAATGAAAATATTTCATTATTCATTTCATTTGCATGAATGATTTCAGATTTGTTAATCATAGTTGTGTAATTATTTTTAAACGAATTCTTTTTATAGTTTCGTTTTTGTCGTTGTCTTGCGTATCCTCGCCGTATGTAATTTATATTTAAGTCATCATTTGTTATTTTGTTATCAAATGCGACATGCGACAAGCGTTTATTTTGATTATAGGATTGTTTGCGAATAATTCCAATTGGTAATTGTTGCTTTACGCGATTTTTGCGAAATGATTTTGCATTTTCATAAACATCCATCTGCAAGTGATTGGAATTTTTGCGATTTTAAAAGAGTCTGTAAAAATAATTGTATTAAATCTGCAAGAAAAATTATTTGTTTTGATTAAAAATTAACTTAATTAGTTAATTGGGTTTTGTTTCTTTTTCCTTTTCTGTAAGCAATACCTGTTTTTTGCTTGTAAATCGAAATTAAATAATTAAATTTACATTTAAAATTTCGTCAGCTAAAAGCTAATTTATTGCACAAAATATGTATGCAATTTAGCGTCGAATGTATTTTAGTTGCAGCAAAGTTGCTAACTCAAAAAAGTTTTAGTTATGTTCGGAAAAATTAAATTTAAAATTAAAATATAATAAAAAATAAAATATCATCGATTTTTACACTACGAAAAAAAGTTTGGTTGTTTCCACATACTTTCAACAATGAACCGAAATCTTATCATAAATCAAATAAAGTGAATTTTAATTCAAAACTATCAAAAGAATATAAATGAGTATTTAACATCAATTGTTTCATATGTGAACGATTGGTTATATGAAATAATAAGACATCAATCGTTTCTTTTATTTTTTTTTGATATGAAGTTTACACTTTCTTTTTATTTCAAAATATTTTATGAAATTTCTGGCAGCTATAATTTACAACATTAATTATAATCTATTAATCATTAATAGTTGATAGAAAAAGCTAACCGTATCCTTAATAGATGGCACTGATCGGATCAAAGTTTTTTTATACGGATTTAAATTGCAAAATGTTACAGCAGGAAATTGTATATAATCAAATTTGAGCTGAAACATAAATTTTTTTTGAATTTTTAAATTTTTATTTCTTTCTTAAAAAAATGATAAAATAACATTNGAACTTAAACAGTGATAAAATCAACTATATTACTGTATTGCTATTTACCTCAATACTGGTATCTATCAGTTCAATATTACTATATATTACTACTACTTAAGAAATGATAACATTAAATTTAAACAATGATGAAATCAACTATATTACTGTATTGCTATTTACCTCAATAATGGTATCTATCAGTTCAATATTACCATATATTACTACTACTTAAGAAATGATAACATTAAATTTAAATAATGATAAAATGAACTATATTACTGTATTGCTATTTACCTCAACACTGATTATTTATCAATTCAATATTACTATATATTACTATATTGTTACTACTTAAAAAATGATAAAATAACATTGAATTTAAATAATGATAAAATCAGTATTACTATATTACTACTACATACCTCAATACTGGTTATTTTTTCATAACGATTAAATTTCATCAGTAATTGATATGCTTGTACAGTAAGTACTATAAAACATAGAACAATTCCAAATAACCATAATCGTGCAGTATATGGATTTCTTGCAATAAATATACGTCGTACACCGTGTGCTGTAGTATTTTCCGAAAAATTGCGAATTGTTTTAATAATTATATGATTACTATCAACAATATTACGATCAGTTTGATAATAATAAGGAATTGCATGGTTATCATGGCATAATTCATCGTATGATTTTCGATATTTTAATGGTAATTTTGGTGGTTGAATATATTTCATATAATTGCTCGAATAATCACCATTTCTTGTATCGGATGATTCCATGTATTCACTACAAAATTATCTAACTATATATTGCTATTTATACAAAATAAATTAATAATTTAGCAATTTGAAAAGAAGAAAGAAAACATAAACAAATTATTAATTAATTTAATCTGAAACAAAAAAAAAGAAGGTTTTAATTATATTTCATCTAACTGAAATTTTAATTATTTTAATTAGAATGAAATACGCTTTTTATATAACAGTGTAAGTGAAGTGAAAAAAAGGAGAGAGGCTAAAATAGTAGGATGTACTCTACTGAAATGGCAGCTGTAACTTAATGAAATGAGTCTTATTCCTTAAATCCAACCAAAAAAGAATTAATAGTTGTTGTTGTTGTTGTTGTTATTGTTGCTGTTGTTAGATGAAATGAGTGAATGAGAAATTTTAAGGAAAGAATATTTAAAATGAAGAAATAGTTATGACAAGAAATGGACTAAAATAATTTAATGAAAATTGAACGAAAAAAAATTCTTTTAATATTTTATATTATATACTGTATATTTCATCAAATTTAATTTCACAACAACATTTTCTGCAAATGTAATTTTACTTCGTTGAATAATTTCAGTTGCAACAATAAAATGAATTTCGATAAATTTCACTATACCTTATGGAAATGTAATTTGTATCGTTGAATGATTTCAAATACAACAATAAAATGAATTTCGATATATTTATTTGTTAAAAAGTGAATTTCAAACATAACATATTAAAATTATAATTAAATGATATAGGCTAAATTTACAATTTTCATTAGGGAATCTTAATTTTTGCATAAGTTTTTTTTGATTTAATTTGTAAAAGTTAAATTCAAAGTAAAATAAAACAAAAGAATATATGATTGGAATAAAATTAAATTTTGACATAGTGTAACTGATAAAATTTTTATCAATGATAATAACAAATAGATTACAGCAAAACGATCCGCATCAAATTTTTCTAAATCAAAAAATTAATATTTTCCTAAAAAATGATGCATAAAATAATTTTCGTTCATTTTCTTCGAATATGCAAATGATATTATTCTCATATTAATTACCAAATTAATGAATATATTCTTAATTCAAAATTAATTATTAAATCAATAAATAACCAAACTCTTAAAAAGTATCTATAATTATTGAAAGTCTATTAAAACAATAAATGATCAACCTCTTAAGTTATTTAAAGTCCCAATACAGTAAACAAATTTGCTCATATCAAATTATGCTCAACTTCTAATTAATGCTAATTTCAACTATTTCATCGAAAGGAATAAATGAATTGTGAAAGAATTGCCAAATGCTATTTATTATTTTAAAAGAAAATTGAAACATTGAAAGAATAAGAAAACAAAACGAAATTGTAATTTTTGTAAAAAAAGAAAGAAAGAAAGAAAGAAATTTATTTTGGTTGAAATGCTGTCAGCAATTTTGACGAAAATTTTGCTCAGAATTGAAACAGATGGTTAAAAGCTGTGATAGAAATAATAATCAAACGAAAGAAAGTAACAGTGAAATATTTACTAACCATTGTTGATGTGAAAGATTATCATTATTGTTTGGTTGAGGATTATTATTATCATTATCATCATTATTAAATGTAGCAGTTGTTGGATAAATTTGTGGCGAAGATCTTGGATGAGATTGAGATTGTTGGGTAGCAGTTCGTGATGATGCTGTCATGAAGACAGAATTCGATGGTTGATGTCGTAATTGTGGCATCGTACGATGACGATGACGATTATGATGGTGATGATGATGATTACGACGATAATAATGTTTCTTCTTTGGATGAAATGAATTTACTGCTGATATCATTCCATCTGATTACAATTTATTTTAATGTTATTGTTATTTACGAATAAAATAATGGTTTATTGATAGAATAATTCTGGCAATTATTGTTTATTTCATTGTTATAGTTGCACTTCTATAATATGATATGATATAAATGTTAGTGATAATAATTTTATATCAGTAGAATGACATCATATCATTATATGATAGTATATATTGTGATAACGTGAGATTACGATAACGTTACACATTAGTTATATATGAGTAATTATTATTGGGAGAAAAATTTTTTGGAAAATAGTTGAAAATTTAAAAGAGAGAAAGAGAGAATAAACATATGATAAAACTAAAAAGTAGCTTAACATGATAAGATGAAGTGATAATTAACATAAGGTAACGTTATTAATCAGATATGCTATGATATTTTAATAATAGAAATAAATCAATAGATAATAAATGATCATATATCTGATTTTAATACAATACTGGTTCTTCTATGAATAAAAATTATTAATTACTTATTAATTAATTTAGAAAACGAAATATGCTGTCATTCAAAAAATAAGATAAACTTATGATGACAGATTAAATTTCTAGCTAAAACAAATAAAGGCCTATTTCTTGCTGTGTGGAATTTATTAAAACATAGCTTTCATAATTTACTTCATAAAATTTTAATTTATCTTAAAACTGTCTATTCATTTTGATGAGAAGACAAATTAATTAATCAAAAAGAAGAAACAATGAAAAGATTCAGATATTTCATAGAAGAAAATTTTTGCTCGAAAAACTAAAATAATTACCAATTACCAATTAGGATGATTATTAATTACCATTTGATTACCAATTATTTTTGTTTAATTAATTATTTTCAAATTAAAATTATAAATTTTTATTTTCTTAGATCATTTATCCAATTAAGGACCAAACTAAGAATTATGATGAAACAAAAGAATAAAATAATAAAATTTTATTAAATTTAATTAATACTGAATTGAAATAGAAAATAATGAATATATTTATCTTTTATCGGTTGACTATTTATATATATTATCAAATATATTATTGACAAATGGTTAGGTAGCAAATGGATTTTGTACATAACTGACTATTTACTTATGTCTATTAGTTTTTCCCATTTTTTTCTCATAAAATAAATGTCATCGGCTGTCATTAAAAATAAATGGAATAATTGTTGATTTCAAATAAAATTTTCCACCTTAATTCACATTTGTTTTAAAATATATTTTTAATAAATTACATTTTCGTTTTTTTCTCTTACTTTTGTCGAATTTAACAAAAAATTATAGAAAATTTTATTTATTAAAAACAAAGAATTATTCGAATTAAATTAGCGAAAAATGAAAAAAGAAAATGAAATAATTTTTTATTAAAATATAATATTTATAAAATATGCAAAGACTTTCATTTTATTCATTCCAATTTAATTTTATTTTATGATTGCTGAACTTTTAGCAACTATGATAATATGTGAAGCTTCAACAATCTATGATACTAGAAAAAGCTTCAATAGTCTATGATATTAGAAAAAGCTTTGACAGCCTATGATGTTAGAAAAAGCTTTGACAACCTATGATAATATGATTAGCTTCAATAGACTATGATAATATGAAAAGCTTCAGCAGCCTATGATACCATAAAAAGCTTCAACAGTCTATGATAATATGAAAAGCTTCAACAGCCTACGATACTATGAAAAGCTTCGACAGTCTATGATCCTATAAAAAGCTTCGACAGTCTACGATAATATGAAAAGCTTCAGCAGTCTATGATCCTATAAAAAGCTTCAACAGTCCATGATAATATGAAAAGCTTCAACAGTCTACGATACTGTGAAAAGCTTCAACAGTCTATGATCCTATAAAAAGCTTCGATAGTCTATAATAATATGAAAAGCTTCAATACCCTATGACGATATGAAAAGCTTCAACAGTCTATGATACCATAACAAGCTCCAAAAGTCTATGATACTATAAAAAGCTTCAACAGTCATTACATTTCATAAATTTACATCACTGTAAAAAATTTGAAAATTGAAGATGTTGCTGCAATCATTAGCATGCGTTATGATAAATTAACACTGATTATTTAGAATATTTAAAGTTTTACTATGATATAATATGTCATTCTAATGTTCCTTAATTATGAGCTGATAAATCGGATCAGGTAAATTAATTAGAATGATTGAGATACTGCTTAAAATATGTTACTTTTTCAACGTTACACTAAAAAAAATTATATTATAGCAAAACTTCAACATACTAAATAATAATATCTTTAAGAAAGCTTACCCGCAATAAAGATTTACGAAAACTGATTATCACTAAACGATCGCAATAGCAAATATTTTAAAAAAGAAATGAATTCTTAAATGAGTCATAAAAATGATCTGAAATTAATAACACATTTAAATTAATTTTAAGACAAAAATTAAAAATATATTCGAATAGAAATGATTTAAAATATAAATTGAGCCATATTATTTTAGGTAGAAAATAGCATTAAAATATTTTTTGAATATTTTCTTTTTTACAAATTCAATTTTAGGTTTCATTGCAATTAATTATTCATACCTGTTCTTTACCACTTTGTTTCTTATACTTTTGAAATTTAAACGAATGCTTAAAACAAAATCACACATTTATTCTAAAGATTGCTTTTGTTTGCTTTATCGCTTAAATCAAGCGATATAACGAAATTCTAATTTAATCATTTCCTGTCACATAAAGTTTTTTTTTTATCAAATCTGATTATGATTAGCAATTCAATGATTATTTTCTCAAATATTATACTTGTTTTTTGTTTTGATAAAGCATACTTATTTTAAGGATTATCAAATATTTTAAAATTTCGTCGGAAAGTTGGATCAGTTAAGTAAAGTAATTTATCGATCAATTCATATGAATAAATAAATGCGAGCAAAAAAGTATTTTTGGAAAATAACTTAATATTATAATAATAGTAATAGTTTTGATGAGAAGTTTACTATCTATTCAGAAAACAGTACAAGTTATTAAAATTTATCATCCAAGCAAACATCCAAGCACTTTTAACATTCGTAGAAAAGTCGGATCGGTTAAGTAATTTCTCATGTAAATTTATGCTGATTTGGTTATTCTCTTTTTGAATAATTTTTCAAGCTTAAATTCATTTAATTTCAAAATTTTATTTAAAACCTTCAATTAATCGATTAAACTTTTATCGATCGAACAATTGCAAACTTCTTTTAAAAAAAGGTAAAATTGAAAATTAAATTGTCTGGAGTACAGTAAGAATTTATATAAGAAATGAAGAGGAAATATGTGATAAATTAGTTTCACGCCCGTTCGAATAAATTTTTATAATAATTATTGGAAAACTTTTCATGTTGCTAATAATAGAAGGAAATGAATCGAAATTGAAATGAAGCAGACTAATGCTATATGCATAAATTAATAAATAAATAAATAAGGCTAAACAATTTAAAATTGT